AAGGTGGGCAGGAAAGAAAAGGGCATCATTCTTATTAATAATAATAAAGTAATAACATCGAACATTTATTAAGTGCTGCTTGTGTGCCAGGCACTTATTAAGCAATTTACAGGCACCTTTTCATCCGTGTTAATGGCACTGCTCCTCAATGAAAAAGACAGATTGCATCCTGTGTCCACGTCACATTCTGGCAAGTGTCCTTCGCACATCACCCTTCCATTCAAGTGTCTGGACAATGCGTTTGAATCAAAAAGTAATGAACACCAGTCAGAACCAGGAATTTCTCAACTAGGTCCACTTGGCTGAGAACAGTGACCAAAGGTTGGACACAAAAGCAATGCCTTTTCTGACCAGAAGGTGAGTGTGTGCAAAGCATTCTCAGGAAAATACAGAGTGAAGTCCCTCTTGGCTAAGTTTTCATGGACCCTGACCCTGCCTCTAGGCCTGCTTTCTGGCTGGAGCTGAGAGAGAAAGCTCAAGTCATTCGAAAGCAAGATGCAGTATGAGTAACTTGAAAGCATATCCAAGGTGGTACTGATTTCCTCAAAATAACTGCACAGTACTTTCTGCTTGGAAGAAGAGAAGCCTTTTCCAGCCTATTCATGTTTATTTAAAAATACGGCCAGTGTGGCTCAGTGGTTGAGCATCAACCTAGGAACCAGGAGGTCATTTCAATTCCCGGTCAGGACACATACCCGGGTTGTGGGCTCGATCCCCAATGTGGGGCGTGCAGGAGACAGCCGATCAATTATTCTCTTTCATCGTTGATGTTTCTATCTCTCTCTTCCTCTCCCTTCCTCTCTGAAATCAATAAAAATATATTTTAAAATGTATATATATTTGTTGAGCCCACAGCCTACATCTACCCATCTTCTTGCTGTCTTCCACTGCAGAAGCTGGAAAGTTATTGGCCACCTCTTCACCTTCCCCCTGTTAACCCCTCACACACACACCCTGCAACCTCACCATAATGAAGAAATAACTCTCCCCACTCAGCCAGCTTGGCCCAGTCCCTTGCTGGCACAGCCCCATCATGGCCAAACGAAGAGAAAACATGGGCAGAAACACCTCAGGGAATGTGTGGAAAATGCACAAACCTCACAACATGTGGAGAACAGAATGTAGGGACAAGGTGATAGAACTTCTCTAGTCCTAGGTTTATAGAAAATCGTTGCTGAAAGAAATTACAGAGGAAGGAGAGGTCTTATGATTCAGTCTCCATTTTAGAAAATGAATTAGGATGTGTAAGTGCTAACAGGATTCCAAAGCTTCAGATTCTAGGCCCAGGGGAGGAAATTGTCAGGAAAGCGGCCATGGGCCTCACTCAGAAAATGAATGCCATATGGCTCTGGCCACTGTTAAATGATGTCTAAATGGAATGGGTGACCACCTTCATCACAGCCTACAAACCACCATCACCCACTGCATCCTCCCAGAT